GATTTCATATTGGATACCTGTAACTTTGAACACAGTATTTTTGATCGATTGGAACAATTTAACATAAGAATCACAAGATTCATCACTTGAAATCAAAGCAATTCCAAATGGATGAAATTTACGATTAGCATCCGAACAGCCAAATACAAGAACTGGAAGTTCATTCCAGTTAAGCTTAAATGTAGCATCTACTTGAAGAAGTCGTGATAATGCACCGACTGATATTAACTGTTTAGTTGTAAAAAATATGAATAGATTGTCACATGATATTATTTCATATGTCGAAACAAACACATCCTGTAAACTTTGGATTGGAGGAATAGCAGCACGTTGTAAGCACCATTGTTTAAAATCGTCCACCGAATACATTGAAGGTCGTGTTAATGAACGATGATATTTCAATAAATTTGTAACTTGAGTTGTTGAAACTGGACCATTATATTCATTTTGTACTGCACGTTTTACTTGAGCTTGAGTAAGTCGAGTTGCAACTGATTTTAATATTATATCACGAACAGGACTTGGAGCACGAGTTGTATCAGCTCTTTTTTTATGATTATGTGTATCACTTGTCGACACAATTATTTCATTTTGAGAATTAAACAATGCACGAACTTGAAAACTACATTCTGGATATTTTCTACATGACGAACAACGATATGTAACTTTAATGCCATCTTTCACATTTTCCGTTCGAAATTTCGATACTCTGTTATGATTTGAATAAACATTCAAATCATCTTTTTGTAAATATTTATTAACAAAACTCCAAACTTTTCTTGACATGATTTTTTTAAAGAAAAAATATTTAGCGTGTATTGAGAAATGTGCGGGTTGAAATAATTCTTAAATTCACTCTACACCAATTTTTAAGATTTATCGAACATTTCAGTCAATAAGTCTCGTTCGTATTCAACGAGACGTCTGTTCGTAGATCATCCTATTTGTTTAGGATGAAAAAACGACAAAATATCTTTTATTTACTCCTTGAAAAACCGTGCACAAAAACGTCTCCGTGCACATTTCTGTCTTTTTACCGTGCACTTTTCTGTAACTGTGCACAAAAATGTCAAAAGATTTTTTAGTGCACGGAAAATAGCAGACCGTGCACAAAAAACATTTTTCCCTTCGTCTAGATTTACAGTGTGATTGTTTTCAGTGACATGTACAGATATTTCTGAAAACAAATCATCATTTTCTATTTTCTTCTCATGCTGGTACATTCTAATGCCTACTTCGTTGCCTGTTTGTCCGACGTAAATGTTAGCATAGTCTTTGCATTCTACACACTAAACAACTCCAACCTTTCTATGATCTTTTCCTTTGTATTTGTGTGAGAAACTGATTCCCAGTGTCTGATACTTTCGAAATGCAAATCCTATATTTGTAACACCAAATTTGTGGAGACTTCTCTTTAAACTCGAAACAAATTTCTTTGATTCACTTCGCAGATAATAAAAGGAAATATTCGCCTTAATTTTGGAAGGGAGTGTGAGTTAATATATGAAGTGCCACGTGCTCACAACAAGTTTGGAATTATTTTCGATCGAACAGCGTCTCATTTACCGTATGCCATAAGAGACTCTGAAACTGTGAAACTCTAAAGATTTCGGAATTCAGACGACAGTGACATTGCACAGTTTTAAGATTCTGAAATTGAGAAATTCCAAATATTTCTTAACTCATTACATAAATAAAACATTTAAGCGTCTTGTTATCTTTTCGGTCCTTCATTTATTGTCAACTCATTTTAATCTTTTCCACTATCTCGCTTTTAGGTAATCAAGTTACAAGTGTTTCAGGCGTGGCTGGAAGACAAGTAAAACATGATACACCTGAACCAATGGAGGATAATGAGCTGAAAAGAAAAAATCTTTCAACTGCTAAATTCGCTTTTCATTTTAGTGATGAATCAAGATCTTGAGGTACCTGTTCCTCAAGTATATATTATGGGTCTACCTCGGAGTATCGCAAGGGAACAAGTTTATCAGGTTTTCTCGAGATATGGTTTGGTCAGAGTAAGTAAATCGTTCATAGTTTAGCTCTCACAAAATCAAAAAAGAAACAAAATTTTCTTCCAGGAAAATCCAACAGCAAGTCACCAGGAGATTTACGTTTATCCGAATCTGGTTCGTCAATGTGCTTGTGCAACTGTGTTATACACAAGTACACAAGACGCAACATTGGCGATACATTCGCTAAATGGTAAATCATTCTTATCGCTTAGTCGATAACTAATTCTGATATATTTATTTAAGGTAAATGTGTTCACGAGTTCTCGTACAATTTGATAAACGTGAATTATAGGCGCCGTTATTATCAAAATTACGTGTTACGACGACAACCACTACCACCACCACCAAGACATCAAGAACATCAAGGCAACTAAAGTGACAATAAAATCCCAGGTTTATGATAATTTTTTTTTCTTATATCCAGGTTTCTCTGTTTTTTTCTTGTTATTAAGTTTCACATATTTTCGTTTATTTGATTTTCTGTTTTTGAAATACATTTGATCAAGTCAATCAGCCACTCAAGCATCTTTTCTTAACTAGAGCACTTTCATTACCGCATCAAATAAAGTGAGTACACAGAGCCTCGAGAGAGATTTTAGACAAGATGTGTATTCCTATAGATAGGTCATATGTGTACAATATTCTATAAGGACATATTACATTCAAATCTTAAAAAGTCGCCTATCTTTCTGTGAAAATATATCGCATATTTAATATTTTTGTTAAACTAATGAAAATTGTAGACTTATTACTGGTGTATCTGCCGATAGTAAGCATATAACAACTATAAATTTTCACAACGGTTTTACTATTTCGTTTTCACTGTTTTTAATTTTGCTCATATACACATTAGATACTGGTGTCATTCATACTGGACTGAAAAATATTTTAGTACTCGGTCTTCCCCATTATATGAATGATGAAGCTGACGCTTTTTCAATATGTACATTGTGTTCGATGACGAAAATTTCTTTTGAAAATATAATAACGAAACATATCTTTTGTTACAATGCCTTTATTCGTACATTCTCTTTCTTGGTGTCTACAGACGCTCATATAAATAAAATAAGAAGAAGAAAGTGAAAAATATAGTGAGAACATTTTAGAGATGTTTTATTTTAGATGATGAAACAGTATTGAGAGGACTAAGTGTCCTCCGTTTTTATAGTCGATCGATTGTATTATGGTTCACTAGACTTGATTTAGATGACAAATTCTTTTTCTATTTCCGATATGCTGGGTTGCAACCCTTCGTTATCGATAAATTTTCCTAAAGTCTCTTAAAATCGACTATATTTTGTGAAATAAGTACAGTTCGGAAAATACGTACTTCTTTTGAATGAATGAATTATCAAGCATGGCAAGGAAAAATTACTCGAATTGAACTTTAGATCTTATAAAAACTTAACTTTTCTGCAGTATTAAATTGCATTAGACACTTCTTCATTTTTCAAGCTTCATCGAATGGATAACTTTCGGAAAACATTACTTCGTTTCCAAGCCACAGTATTAGGGAATAAAAAAAGTCAAGTTGCAAAAGTTAATTGGAAGATTTAAAAGTAGAGTCGGAGAGAAGCCTTTCTTTAAGATGTACCTTACATTTTTTGAAAGACAAAAGTTGATTGGAAACACTTTTAAAGTCGAAGAATATTTTGGAAAAACATATTTATTGTTGGTGCGTAAGATACCGCTAATTCAAAGTTCGAGTGGAATTTATTTTCGAACATATTACACATCGTTGGATAGAGAAGTTCAAGGTGATCACGAATATATGTACCTCGATTTTTTTCTGACACTTTTTTCCGATCTAAAAACTCGAAATACTGAAGGGATCTCAAAACCCAAAAAAATTTCGTCGATTTTGAAATGAATGTTGGTAAATGGAATATTGAAACTTAGTTTTTCTAATTCAGCGTCGAAAACTGAATTAGGAAATAGTCTCAAAACATTTTTAGAACCAAATGCCTATTCACAAAAAAAATCGCAGTGTCCATGGCTCAAAGACGGCACGAAACTTTGCAAACCTATCACAGGTTTTTGTAAAGGTGTTAGAGCACATGGTTAGATTCGTCACCTGCTCATCTTCAAAACTATACGAATAGTTTTATATAATTCCTTTTTCTCCCTGAGAAATTTTACTTTTACTAAGTCGTCTAGATTAGAGAATGATAATCGTTCCGCCGGATCAGCAACCACACGTATTACTAAAGCGCGCTTATCGATTCTAGCAGCGACAACTGGTGAAAAATATCAAAAACTTTTGTTTAGTTGATCAAGATTTGTAGGATTTGAAGGAATACACAATCGAATGTCGTATCTTGCTTTGGATAGTATCCAAGCGATAAGACCGCAAACGTGAGTAGCTTGTTAGGATTTAGTCTCAATTTGAGAATATTTTTCTACTTTAGGTATTCAAGCATTCCTCAAAGAAAATCAGATGCCCACGTTGGCTCACGTATTAGTTGTTGCGCATTTGTTCGGCACAATTGAATATGACTGGGGAAAAACGCATGTTGAACTAAAACTTGAAGCTTATGGTAAGAGAAATTTTCTTCAGCGGGAAAGTTGAATGAATTCGGATAGAGAACATGAATAATAATATACTAGATACAGCTATTGTAAAAAATGTTTATCGATATATACTTTTTCTGCTAAATCCAAAACAATAATGTACAAATTGCTCAAAGTTGATATCTTAAATTATTAAGTTCAACGCTTCCTTCTAAACTTTTTCTTATCATTGTTATTTAGCCTTAGATTCAGCGGCATTTTTACAAAATTCGACTACATCTATATTCGATGAAACACAAGCCACGACAGTCTCATCTGGAACACAAGTTGAATCAGGTGGATGGAACTTTGCTTTCAATCTTACTTAAGATCATCTGCAGTGGATGTTGGACAATAAACGTCAACCACTTCAAATTCGCAACATTTATGCAAAAACAACAACGATCTATTCAAGATATTGTGCTCTGTTTCAGTTATTTCGCCATTGTGTGAAAGTATTACAACACTTGTCAGACGATATTGATTTTGATGAAGGTTTTGAAAAATATGGACGTATCAACGCTAATTTTATCAAGAGTGCAAAAATAAAAATCCATGATCTATTTTTATCATCAGCAAAACAAAGTAAAACAGATCCTTTCCCGTTCTGTTGATTGAAAAAGATTCGTGTGTGGCAGCATGACAATATTATGAATTTTTATTTCATGATGCATTAACATTATTCAAAATGCCACCGTCACCGTCATCATCCATCCTTTCTGGTCAAAGCTTACCAACATCGACAAATGAGCGAAAAATTCTTGAATTTCAGTTTAATCCGTTTATGCCTGGAGCTCTAACTGGGAAAATACCAGACATAAATGAACCGTTAGGGAAGCCGTCAAAATTCGCATCGGTGAATTTATTCACCGGTGAATATATTCACCGGTGAATAAATTCACCGGTAATTTGATTGGAGAGAAAATTGAGAACAGAATTATTCAATGTGGCTGAGAAAAAGAATATGGAACTATCGTATAACAGAATGAACATGTATTCTTTTCTGTACTATACTTG